TTTGAGTTGGAGTTTCACTCCGTCGTCCAGACTGGAGTGCAGAGGCCGCTCTCGGCCACTGCACCCTCAACCTGCTGGGCTCTGGCGATCCTTCCACCTCAGCGTTCCGAGTAGCCGGAATTATAGATGTGTGCTACCACGCCCGGCTGATTTTTGATTTATTATAGAGATGAGGTCTCACTGCCCAGGCGGGTCTCGAACCCGCGGGCTCAGGCAATCCACTCACCTCAGCCTCCCAAAGGCGCGGATTACAGGCTGAGTCACCAAGCCTGGCCTAAATATTTTCTTAGTCATTTACTAATTGAATGTTCTCTTTATTAAATAGTTTTAAATTAATTTACCACTGGGCATGGAGGCTCACACCTATAATCCCAGCACTTTGGAAGGTGGAGGCAAGAGGATTACTTGACCCCATGGGTTCAAGACCAGCCTGAGCAACTTGGTGAGACCTCGTCTCTGCAACAAATCAAAAAATTAGCCAGATGTGGTGGTGTGCACCTATAGTTCCAGCTACTCGGAAGGCCGAGGTAGAAGGATCACTTGAGTTCAGCAGGTAGAGGCTGCAGTGGCCATGAGCGTGCCATTGTACTCCAGCCTGGGCGACGAGTAAGACTCCAACTCAAAAAAGCAAAAAATTAATTTTACCAACATAAAACCTTGCTCATAAAAATGTAATGAAGGCCACTGCCTTACTAGATTCTGGTGTGGTCACGTGCACTCTGAGCTATAGCTGTTGCCATGTTTCTTGGCTTTGGCCTCCTTCCCTGCCTTGGGGAGGTAAATCTCTCTTTTTTTTTTTTTTTTTGAGTTAGATTCTCACTCTGTCACCCAGGCTAGAGTGCAGTGGTATGCTCACGGCCACCATAGCACCGACCTGCTGGGCTCAGGCAATCCTTCCACCTCAGTCTTCCAAGTAGCCAGAACTATGGACATGGGATATCACATCAGGCTAATTTTTTGATTTATTATAGAGATGAGGTCTCGCCAAGTTGCCCAGGCTGTTCTTGAACCCGTGGGCTCAGGCAATCCCCTCACCTCAGCCTCCCAAAGTGCTGGGATTACAGGCTTGAGTCACTGTACCCGGCCTGAAACTCTTCTTTCTTTCTCTCACTCTCTCTAATTTACTTTCTTAATAAACTATATTTTCTAATCTAAAACATAAAAAAATGTAATGAAAGCCCAGATCAGTACAATTCTATCAAAAGAATAGTTCCAAAACTCATAATGTATTACCTAGAATAAAACCCAACATATAAAATCATTTATTAAGATGAATTAGCTTTCAAGGGAACCAAAAATGAATTGCCTTGTGCTAACATTACCTTTCAAAATCCTCCTAAGTGCTCATATAGACAATAGGAGTTGATGCCCCTTGCTCTGTCTCCTAGATAGCAAGTGCCTTTTGCATTTTAAAAACTGTATCTTAATGTCACTGGAAAAATTAATGCTTATGATTGGAAATTAATATCCTTACTTCCTGTTTTCATTGTTACTAACTTCCTAGTTGGAAGGTAAACTGAGATTTCTGATTTGGGTGTAAATAACCTTTTGGAACTCAAAACAGATTTAACCAGCAATAACTTCAACTTACCGTAAATCCTTGGGGCCCTCCATCTTTCACATGATAAATTCCACTACCAGCTTGAAACAGGAACGTTCCACTGCCTTGGTGATAGTCATACGATGCAATTCCCACCGTTCCAATGCGTTTCCTTTCTCTTAATAGTTCTTCTTCTCGAGAATACATTCCATAGTCCAGTGTTGCCTAATGCAAGAGGAATGTCACCCATCCCAGTCTTCTGAAAACCTGCCTTTGATTTTTTTCACTGAATTCCTAGCATCTCCATACTATGGAGTCTACATTTTTAGTGACCCCAAAATTTGCCAGCAATGTTAAGCAGATTAATTTCAGGAAGTCTGCTGAAAGATTCCTTGGTAAAGAGTCTTTAGATGAGTACTGTATACATTAGAGACAAGAATAAAGTTCAATCATTTTGGCATTCAAAACTTTCGATAGCCTCAAAATTTAGTAGTGAAAATAGACTTTGAAGGGAAAAAATTGCACCCAAACTATCATGTTGTCCTTGGGATGTTTTCAACTAATTAATTTTTCATTGAAAGATAAAATATTGAGAGGAAAAAAATCTTAATCTTTGATTTGACATAAATTGAACTATACTATTTAGAATAAAACATGAAGGTAGCTGCACTAAAGTTAGTGCTGTTACTAAGTCTTAGAACTACAAATTCAATTTAAATATTTAAGCAAAAGCCTTTCTGGAAATAAACATTTGTTTGCTTATTTGAACAACTTCTCTAAAAAAAGTGAGAATGATATAATGGAAAAGTTTATGGAAAGAAAAGGCAGTTAAACAGGGAGAATGTTGGCTGGGTGTGGTGGCTCACGCCCATAATCCCAGCACTTTGGGAGGTTGAGGTGAGAGGACTGCCCAAGTCCATGGGTTTGAGACCAGCCTGGGCAACTTGGTGAGACCTCATCACTACAATAAATTAAAAAAAAAAAAAAATTAGCTGGGCATGGTGGTGTGTGCCTGTAGTTCCAGCTACTTGTAAGGCTGAGGCGGAAGAATCACCTGAGCCCAGCAGGTTGAGGCTGTGGTAGCTGGGAGCATGCCACTGCCCTCCAGCCTGGGTGACAGAATGAGACTCCAACTCAAAAAAAAAAATTAAAAAACAGAGAAAGTAATAAAAAAAAAAAAACTGAATTGTAATATCCCTCAGTTTCAGATACTGAGAATTAAATAGAATTTAAGGGTCACACATGCAAAAACATAAAAATGTTTTAATTCCTTTTGATTTACATGTATTTCACATAAAAAAAATCTCAATCTCTAAATAAATGCAATACCTGAAAACAAACACCAAATCACAGGAAAAACAATATTTAATCCTACCTGAAAAAGATCCAAAAGAGGCTTCCAAGACAGCATCAAGACTGCTGCTCTGTTGATGGTTTTGGGAATTTCAGAATAAAACAGTGTATTTTCTCTGTTCTCACCAGACATGGCTATAAGAGAAAACAATCATTTATTGCTATTCTTTTTTTTTTTTGAGTCAGGGTCTCATTCTGTCACCCACACTGGAATGCAGTAGCATGCTCATGGCCGCCACAGCCTCAACCTGCTGGGCTCAGGTGATCCTTCCGCCTCAGCCTTCAAAGAAGCTGGAACTACAGGCACATACTACCACACCTGGCTAATCTTTTATTTATCGTAGAGACAAGGTCTCACCAAGTTGCCCAGGCTGGTCTCCAACCTATGGACTCAGGCAATCCTCTCGCCTCATGAGACACCGTGCCTGGTTGTTATTCTTTTTTTCAAATAGCATTACTACAGTCATACTGCTAAGCACATAACGCAATATTTTGTACTCTATGGGATCTATAATAAGTGTTAACGAGTAAGATATATGGCACAAAAATTTTCTTCAATAAAACCAAGACTCCAGCTGGGCTCGGTGGCTCAGCCTGTAATCCCGCGCCTTTGGGAGGCTGAGGTGAGTGGATTGCCTGAGCCCACGGGTTCGAGACCCGCCTGGGCAGCGAGACCTCATCTCTACAATAAATCAAAAAATCAGCCGGGTGTGGTAGTGCATGCCTGTAATTCCAGCTACTCGGAAGGCTGAGGAGGAAGGATCACCAAGCCCAGCAGCGGCCACTGTACTCCAGTCTGGGTGACAGAGTGAGATTCCAACTCAAAAAAAAAAAGGCCTTCGGGGCCAGGTGTGGTGGCTCAAGCCTGTAATCTCAGCACTTTGGAAGGCCGAGGTGAGAGGAATGCCTGAGTCCAGGGGTTCGAGACCAGCATGGGCAACATGGTAAGATCTTGTCTCCGCAATAAATCAAAAATTAGCCGGATGTAGCAGCACACACCTGTAATTCCGGCAGCTACTTGGAAGGCTGAGGTGGAAGGATCACCAGAGCCTAGCAGGTCAACGCTGGAGTGGCTATGAGCGTGCCTCTGCACTCCAGCCTGGGCGACAGAGTGAGATTCCAACTCAAAAAAAAAAAAAACAAAAAACCTTTGGGGTTTCAAATAAAATGATTCTCATATTAAAACAACACAGAAACTGATATCTGATTTGCTAAATATCTCTGTCCTTTGCTGGGGAAGGGCAAAGGGAAAAGAGATCTAAACTAAGAAGTTAAATCTATTCTATGGGCCAGGCGTGGTAGCTCACACCTGTAATCTCAGCACCTCGGGAGGCTGAAGCAAGAGAACTGCCTGAACCCAGGAATTCAAGATCAGCTTGGGCATCATGGTGAGACCTCATCTCTATAATAAACGAAAAAAATTAGCCTAGCATGGTGGCACATGCCTATAGTTCTAGCTACTTGGAAGGTTGAGGTGGAAGGATCGATCACCTGAGTCCAACAGGTCAAGGCTGCAGTTAGCTGTGAACATGCCACTGTACTCCAGCTTGGGCAACAAAGTGAGACTCTGATGCAAAATAAAATAAAATAACAATACAGGAATAATAAAAGTACACTATGGTTATAAAGATGTGAACCAGATCAGGCATGGTAGCTCAAGCCTGTAATCCCAACACTTTGGGAGGTCAAGGCGGGAGGACCACCTGAGCCCAAGAGTTCAAGACCAGCCCAGGTAATATAACAAGACCTCCTCTCTACAAAAAAATTAAAAAACTAGCCTGGCATGGTGGCTTGTGCATGTAATTCCAGCTACTGGGAAGGCTAGGGTGGAAGGATTGCCTGAGTGAAAGGAGGTGGAGGTTGTGTGAACTGTGATCATGCCACTGCATTCCAGCCTGGGCAACAGATGAGATCCTGACTAAAAAAAAAAAAAAAAAAAAAAAAAAAAGTGAACCAAAAAAAATTTGAACAAAGCGGCAAAACAGTGCCATTCTACCCTAAGAGGTAGGAAGGTAACACTTCCAAAAAGCTAGGAAAGAGTGCAGGAAAGAAGAAATCATCAGAAAGAACAAGAAACCTTCTCCTGAGTGAAAGAGATCCTCCACTTCTTTTTCTGATAACAGTAGCAGAAGGTAGTCTGGGGAAGGGTATAGTAACTTTGTGCTAGTCTCCAAATATCTATATCTTCTGTCATCCCCTTATTTTTCTAAGCTTTTCCTAGTTTGCATTGCTTTTGGAGTAAAAAGTTAGACATCAGCTGACATATGCTTTAGCTCGATTTTATCTAAAATTTATTTTATATATTCCAACGTTGCTTTGTTGTAGAATTACTATGACTGTGGTCACCTAGTCAACCATGCATCATTTTACAAAATGTGATCAGAGCTCCTTAAGCATTCTCCTTCTAAGAGCCTTCAGCCCTCAAAATATTTAAAAAAAAAAAAAAAAGTCTTCTTCTCTCCTCAAATGAGGGCTATTTCCCACAATCATTTCAGTTGCTGTTCTCTATGTGCTCCTAGTTCCTAACATGTTCCTTGGTTTTACTCATGAGCAGTAAAAACTTCCCCCACACTGTCTGTGTCCAGACACACCAGTTCTGTATAAGCACAAAATGGGCTTTTTCCATTCTTTCCTAATGGTTTTTATTGATCTTCACAACTACAGCACTCTGTGTGGGCTGATGTCTTCGGGAAACAGTAGCAATGAGTCTTGTTTCTAGGAAACAAAATAAAGAGGGCGCTGGGCATGGTGGCTCATGCCTATAATCCCAGCACTTGGGGAGGCAGAGGTGAGAGGATTGCCTGAGCTCAGGGGTTTGAGACCAGCCTGGGTAACTTGGTGGGATCTCATCTCTACAATAAGTCAAAAAATTAGCCAGACATGGTGGCATGTACCAGCTACTTTTAAGGCCGAGGTGGAAGGATCACCTGAGCCTAGCAGTTCGAGGTTGCAGTGGCCATGAGCATGCCACTGCTCTCCAGCCTGGGCAACAAAGTGAGACTCCTACTCAAAAAAAGAAAAAACAAGAGGGGCTGGGTGTGGTAGCTCACACCTGCAATGGCAACACTTTGGGAGTTTGGGAGGCTGAGGTAGGACAATGGCTTGAGCCCAGGAGTTCAGGTCTTCAGTAAGTAATGATCATGCCATTGCACTCCAGTCAGGGCAACAGGGCAAGACCCTGCCTCTTGGGGAAAAAAAAGAAAAGAACAAGAGATAAAATTTAGCATGTGAGAAAGTAAAACATTAGAGTGACAAAGTAACAAAATTCTTGTTGCTAAATAACAGGGATTCTTCTAAGCATGCCACAGTTAGACTAAGGGCTCTCAAAAATTTATAATTTCAAACAAAATAAAAAATTTCCCCCAGTTAGGATCTCAAAAAAAAGTCTAAAGTATATTAAACAATTAAAAAAAATATGTCAGGTGCAGTGGCTCATGCCTACAATCCCAACACTTTGGGAGGCCAAGGCAGGATTATTTGAGGTCAGGGGTTTAAGACCAGCTGGACAACAAAGCAAGAGCCCATCTCTACAAAAAAAATTAGCTGGTCATGGTTGTGTGCACTTGTAGTCTCAGCTACTTGGGAGGATGAGATGGGAGGACAACTTAAGCCCAGAAATTAAAGGTTACAGCAAGCTATGATTACAGCACTGCACCCCAGCCTGGGCAAGTGGGGGGGGGGGAGCATTAAATGGAGAAAGGTTTTAAATTCTGGACAGACATAGAAGACTTGAAAAAATAACAAGGCATACAATTTTCTTGAAAAGCTCAACATAGGCCAGGCACAGTGGCTCACGCCTATAATCCTAGCACTTTGGGAAGCTGAGGTGAGAGGACTGCCTGAGCCCATGGGTTCGGGTTTGAGACCAGTCTGGGCAACTTGGTGAGACCTTATCTCTACAATAAATCGAAAAAAAAAAAGAAAGAAAAGTTCAACATCTTAAAGATATCAAATTTATCCTAAATTTGTAAATATAATGAATTTATTGTAATATATTAATAGAAATATAATAAACTTGTAAATATAATATAAATATAAACATAATGTAGTCCTAAAACATGGCTCACTATGTTGTCCAGGCTGGTCTTGAATTCCTGGCCTCAAGCAATCCTCCCACCTCAGCCTCCCAAAGTGCAAAGGTTACAGGCATGAGCCACTACGCCTGGCCACAAATAACTTTTTAAACATGCGAAATGATGCTCAACTTCATTCAGAAGAGAAGAAATAAAATATCAGCCAGACACAGTGGCTCATGTCTATAATTCCAGCACTTTGGGAGGCTGAGGGAGGAAGATTGCTTGATGCCAGGTGTTTGAGACCAGCCTGGGCAACAGAGCAAGAACCCATCTCTACACAAAATCAAAAAGTAGGTGGGTATAGTGACATGTGCTTGTATTCCCAGCTACTCAGGAGGTTGAGGTAAGAGAATCACTTGAGCTCAGAAGGTCAAGGCTACAGTGAGTCATGATTGTGCCACTATACTACAGCCTGGGCAACAGAGTAAGATCTTATCTCAAATAAAAGAGAAACAAAATAAAAACTACAATGAGAGACTGCTGTTCACTAATCAGACTGGAAAAATATAAAAACATTATTTACTCGCTATTGGTATAGATACAGAGAAATACATAATATGAGAAAGTGCCAAAGTATAAACTCCATAACCTCTTTGGAGGGGAAATTCAGGAATATCAAAATTCAGTACACAATTACTCTTTGTTCCAACAATTTCACTCTTAGGAATTCTACAGGTATATTCACACATGTGCAAAATGACCTAATATAGTGATATTCACTGCCTTTCCATTTATATTAGCAGATTAAAAAACCTAAATTGGCCGGGCTTGGTGGCTCAGTCTGTAATCCCAGCGCTTTGGGAGGCCAAGGTGAATGGACTGCCTGAGTCCGCGGGTTTGAGACCCGCCTGGGCAACTTGACAAGACCTCATCTCTACAACAAATCAAAAAATTAGCCAGGCATGGTAGTGCGCGCCTGTAGTTCCAGCTACTCGGAAGGCTGAGGCAGAAGGATCGCCGGGGCCCAGCAGGTAGAGGCTGCGGTGGCCGGGAGCGGCCACTGCACTCCAGTCTGGGCGACAGTGTGAGATTTCGACTCAAAAAAAACAAAAAAACAAAAAAACAAAAAAACCTAAATTGAGATCTAGTTAAGTAAAATATGGCATAATTACATAATGGGATATTCTGAAGTTGTTATAAAAAGAATGAATCTGTAATTATGATGTAGACTCATGTAGAGAATGGCTCTACAAAGATTACACACATGCACACACAAATTGGAAATGGCTTTGGAGGAGAGAAAACCTACTTTTCAAATTTTTAATAAAGAAGTAAATCAGTGGATTAATATATTTAATTTAAACAGACCTTAAATTTGTAGGGAATAGACTCAGGAAGAGATCAAAACCATGGTTTAAAAAAATGAAAGAAGGCTGGGCTCAGTGGCTCAGCCTGTAATCTCAGAACTTTGGGAGGCTGAGGTGAGAGGATCGCCTGAGCCTGTGGGTTTGAGACCCACCTAGGAAACTTAGCGAGACCTCGTCTCTACAATAAATCAAAAATTAGCCAGGCATGACAGTGCGCACCTGCAGTTCCAGCTACTTGGAAGGCTGAGGCAGAAGAATCACTGGAACCCAGCAGGTCGAGGTTGTGTTGGCCAGGAACGTGCCACTGCCCTCCAGCCTGGGTGACAGAGTAAGACTCCAACTCAAAAAAAAGAAAGCAGGCTGGACTTAGTGGCTCAGTCTGTAATCCCAGCACTTTGGGAGGCGGAGGTGAGTCGATTGCCTGAGCCCACAGGTTTGAAACCAGCCCAGGCAACTTGGCGAGACCTCATCTCTACAATAAATCAAAAATTAGCTGGGCGTGGTAGCGCGCACCTGTAGGTCCGGCTACTTGGAAGGCTGAGGCGGAAGGATCACTGAAGCTCAGTAGATCGACGCTAGGATGGCCATGAGTGTGCCACTGCACTCCAGCCTGGGCAAAAGAATGAGACTCTGACTCAAAAAAATAAAAATTAAAAAAAATTTTTTTAAATGAAAGCATCAGCCGGGCTCGGTGACTCAGCCTGTAATCCCGCGCCTTTGTGAGGCTGAGGTGAGTGGATTGCCTGAGCCCACGGGTTCGAGACCCGCCTGGGCAGCGAGACCTCATCTCTACAATAAATCAAAAAATCAGCCGGGCGTGGTAGCGCGTGCCTGTAATTCCAGCTACTCGGAAGGCTGAGGCGGAAGGATCGCCGAGCCCAGCAGGTCGAGGCTGCGGTGGCCGGGAGCGGCCACTGCACTCCAGTCTGGGTGACAGAGTGAGACTCCAACTCAAAAAAAAAAAAAAAAAATGAAAGCATCAGTTATTGGGAGCAGAAAACAAACAATAAAATCTTTTGTTTGTTTTCTTAATCAGACCATTCCTAAAGAAAGGCATTTCAAGTTAGCTTTACAAAGAAGAAATTTCTGGCATCTCTAACTTTGAAAAAGGATCCTAATCAATTCATGATTCACTACCTACAAGTAAAAATAGTTAATGGGGTAAACCCAAATCAAGTTCATCAAACGAAAAGGGTTTTTTCCTCCAGACATTAATTCATTTATTTAATCAGTACGATGTGAAAGCCAAGCACACCCAGGCTTTGAGTCTGTCTATGGGAAGCATCTCTCAGACACGATGACCTGTACTCACCCAGGTAGTAGATCCTGTCCGAATGGGGCCCATCTGGGTCGCGCCTTTTCACGAACATGAAATCATGTGGCGCTTTAGCCGTCATGCAGCCATGGTATTTTCTGGTATCAGCAAGCAGTTTTTTAAGCTGACTCCAGGAATATCGTTCAACATAAAATGGCTCCAGTTTAGGCCGATCTTGTGATTCAATACTGTCCTCACACTCTGCTGTTTCAAATACCTCAACACCCAGCTGTTCTGTTTCCATTGCTGCTGCCATGTTGCATTTTCCTACAAAAACAAGACACAAGAAGCTGTTACAGGCCTGCTTCTCTTAAATTACCAGAATTCTGGTCTGATAGAGCCAAAAAGGGCGGGGGAGGGAGGGAAGCAAGAAAAAAAATACTTTTTGTATACCTGTACTGAAACCTGGTTTAAAAAAATAAAAAATAAAAAGAGTAATCACTCCCCGTTCTCTGCATTCAGTTTAAAACTGAGATTTTATTTAAAAATTGAGATCATGTGTATTTCACAGTGCCTATAAATCCCTTTGGGAAACTCTCATAAAAGGCTCTCCTTAGATAATGCTTGCCAAAATTCCTTTTTCTTTCCCACACTGGAAGGAAACAGGCCATTTGCCAGTTGGCTGCTATGCTCCACCCAAAAGCAAGTCAACAGTGAAGCTAAATGTGCCAAGGGAGTTAAGTGCTTCTGCATTTTAAAAAGCACATTGGATAAAAGTGGATTTTCTTTCATCTAACAGAAATAATCACTACCAATTAGAACAGTAATAAACTGCCAAAACAATATATTTGTAATAACCTTACTAGGGCACTTACCCAAAATGATATAAATATTGTCTTTTTAAATGCAAAACACTTAACTGGCTGGTATGTTGTTGAGTCTTCTGCTCTTGCCTAGGCATCACTATCATATGATAACTTGTGCTGATATTTTAAGGAAACTACATGACTATCACTACAGATTATACAACTTATACTGAATAAAAAAAAAAAAAAGGTTGGGCACAGGGGTTAACACCTGTAATCCCAGCACTTTGAGAGGCCGAGGTGGGAGAATCCCTTGAGCTCAGGAGTTTGAGACTAGTCTGCGCAACACAGCAAGACCCCATCTCTACAAAAGCTCAAAAATTAGCCAGGCGTGATGGTGTACACTTGTTTTTTTTTGAGTTGGAGTCTCACTCTGTCGCCCAGACTGGAGTGCAGTGGCCGCTCCCGGCCACCGCAGCCTCGACCTGCTGGGCTCCGGCGATCCTTCCGCCTCAGCCTTCCGAGTGGCCGGAATTACAGGCATGCGCTACCACGCCCGGCTGATTTTTTTGATTTATTGTGGAGATGAGGTCTCGCCAAGTTGCCCAGGCGCGTCTCGAACTAGGCAATCCACTCACCTCAGCCTCCCAAAGGCACGGGATTACAGGCTGAGCCACCGAGCCCGGCTATGGTGTACACTTGTAGTCCCAGCTACTTGGAAAGCTGAGAAGGGAGCATCACATGAGCTCAGGAAGTAGAGGTTGCAGTGAGCCCTGATTGTGTTACAGCATGCCAGTCTGGGTGATAGAGACTCCAACTCAAAAAAACAAAAACAGAAAAAAATACTATCTGCAAATGGCTTTAGTTAGTTGAAGTAGTTGACATGGAAAACATTTAATATTTGTACCAACAATATTTTCGTAAAGGTATGAACCCAGGTGGCTCAGCCTGTAATCCCAGCACTTTGGGAGGCCGAGGCAAGCGGACTGCATGAGCCTGCAGGTTCAAGACCAGCCAGGGCAACTTGGTGAGACCTTATCTCTACTATAAATAAAAAATTAGCTAGGTGTGGTAGCATGCACCTATAGCTCCAGCTATTTGGAAGGCTAAGGTGGAAGGATCGCTGGAGCCCACCAGGTATACACTGGGGTAGGCATGAGTGTGCCACTGCACTCCAGCCTGGGCAACAGAGTGAGACTCCAGCTCAAAAAAAAAAAAAAAAAAAAAGTATGAACCCAGTTACCAGTTCAATTGCTAGACAATGTTTGTTAATAAGTCATCTGCTAATGTTCTTTCTCATTTCACACATCCAGAAGATGCATTTTTCCTTTATTTTTTCTAACATTTAAATGTAACATGAGAAAAGTACCAAAGGAAGTAACAAAAAGTATTATTTTATTTTATTTTATTTTTTGAGTTTGAGTCTCACTCTGTCACCCAGACTGGAGTGCAGTGGCCGCTCCAGGCCACCACAGCCTCGACTTGCTGGGCTCCGCAATCCTTCCGCCTCAGTCTTCCGAGTAGCCGGAATTACAGGCATGCGCTACCATGCCCGGCTGTTTTTTTAATTTATTGTAGAGATGAGGTCTCGCCAAGTTGCCCAGGCGGGTCTCAAACCTGCAGGCTCAGGCAATCCACTCACCTCAGCCTCCCAAAGCGCTGGGATTACAGGCTGAGCCACCGAGTCTGGCTAAAAAGTATTATTATAAACCAATGTAGCCGGGCTCGGTGGCCCAGCTTGTAATCCCAGCGCTTTGGGAGGCTGAGGTGAGTGGACTGCCTGAGCCCGCGGGTTCGAGACTCGCCTGGGCAACTTGGTGAGACCTCATCTCTACAATAAATCAAAAATTAGTGAGGCATGGTAGCGCGCGCCTGTAGTTCCAGCTACTTGGAAGGATCACCAGAGCCCAGTTGGTCGAGGCGGCCACCGCACTCCAGTCTGAGTGACAGTGAGACTTCAACTCAAAAAAAAAAAAGAAACCAATGTGTATTATGAAGGACATAATAGTATTACGACACTACTAAAAGCAGCAACATAAAACTTCTTGACAATTTTATTAATGTCAAAAATTATGTACCTGAGAGATAAGCAAAACTGTATTTATATAACCAAATTTAACATTGTTATCAACTACTTCTAGGACAACAATCAATGCCTGGCTGTATATTCAATATGTCTATTTTAAATCTCAGTTTTGCAGGTTAATATAAATTCATGGTAAGTAACTATAATAGACAAATAGTAACTAGCAGGTGTGGGTTGTAAATTAGTTCATTAAATGTGAATTACTGGTTTGCAAATGAACAAAATGAACTGTGTGCCCAGAACAGTGTGTCTTTTTTCACACTACAATGACTCATTCCACCATTTTTAATGCAACAGTAGCAAAAGTGGTCAAAAAACCAATTAGACACTTACATCAGATATACTTGTAACATTACTATGACTGGGAATTCACTTCCAATGCTTAAAATTCAAAGCAGGCTGGGTGTTATGGCTCAAGCCTATAATCCCAGCACTTCAGGAGGCTGAGGCGGGAGGATTGCTTGAGCCCAGGAGTTTGAGACCAGCCTGAGCAACATAGCAAGACCTATCTCTACAACAAATCAAAAAATTAGCCAGGCATGATGCATGAATGTAGTTCCAGCTATTCAGAGGCTAAGGTGGAAGGACCACCTGGGTCTAGGAGGTTGAGGCTGGAGTGAGCTGTGATCATGCCACTGCACTACAGTCTGGGTGATAGAAGCTCCCAACTCAAAACAAAACAAAACAAAAAAACCAAAGCAGCATGACAAAGAATTAGTCATTTAGCTCAACTAGTATTTAGTACACTGATATCAAGTGGCAATATACGATAGTGGTAGTTGTTTACCCAACTAAAAGTTAGTGGAAGCCTACTTTCTACCAAATGTATCAATGAACCTAGTTTTATATCTAATAGAGTAAGGGGCCACTGAAAGAACTACACAAATCAGGCTCATTTTTCTCAACTTTCTTTGTGTTACATTTGTAAGTTCATTTCCAAGCCAGTACTTACAAGTCCAGGGCTAAGGAACAGAACAGGGAAGCTCAACAAAAAGACCCTCCCACATCTTGCTGCTCAGCTTCCTGGCTATCACTCTCACTCCACAGCTCTCCTGTATCAAAGGTGCATTAGCTTACATTTAAGTAGAATGACCTGGTATTCCTGAGGTCCCTGAACTATTTTTCTATTTCTCCACACATGCACCTAAACACACACACAGTGACACACTCTGTATATTTACAGTAAATGTATATCCTACATTTTCTAGGAAAGACCTGACATTATACAATGTAATTTATGCAAATGTATATGGAAATTACATAATATCCAGAATTCCCTAATATCTTATACACAAATACACTCTCAAACTATGTGACCTGAGTTTCCTAATTTCAAGAAAAGGTAACAGGCTCTGCATATGTTCTGGGTACAGTTCACATTCTTCGCTGTCCCACCTACCTCTCCACTTAAGGACTTTCCCTGGTGCCTACCTGGTTGTATTTTCATCTGCTCAGATCTCTTCCACATTCAAAGAGATCTTTTCCAAGTGACTCAACTTCAAGCACAGATCCCTCGGCTCATCCTGCTCTCTTCTCACAGGAATCTTTCCTTTTCTCACCATCCAATCCTGCTCACCAGAATAATAAGATGTAAGACTTTGGTCACTATTACAATGGACCAGGTGTGTCCAAAAAGATTACATCTAAAAAGCACCCAAATAGTACTGACTCAGAAATACATCCTTCTAGGGTTAATACTATGTCTAATTTACTTTGTATCTGCATTCTACATTATCAAAATTCTGAAATAATTTTATTCCAGAGATATGCAGCACAATTTACTCAAAAGAATATCCTAAGAACAGTGTAAATCTTGGTCAGACACGGTGGTTCACACCTGTAATCCCAGCACTCTGGGAGGCAGAGGAGAGAGGACTGCCTGAGCTCAAGGGTTCGAGACCAACTTGGGCAACCTGGCGAAACCTCATCTCTACAATAAATCAAAAAATTAGCCGGGTGTGGTGGCACGAGCCTGTGGTTCCAGCTACTTGAAAGGCTGGAAGGGAGGTGGAAGAATCACCTGAGCCGAGTAGGTCGGTACTGCTGTGGCCATGAGCATGCCACTGCACTCCAACATGGGCAACACAGTGAGATCCCAAGTCCAAAAAAAAAACAGTGCAAGTCTTGATGTCCAGACACACATTCAAAGGAAAATTATGGAGGCTTTAGAAGTTATGAGAAGTATAGAGATGAGGTGTAACATATCGAGCTGCTAGGAGGCAGAATCAACTCTAGGACACTCCAGTATAATTACAGAACAGGCCGCGTTTGCAGAAAGTGGACGAACTTAAATTCAGTAATTTAAGATTTTTCATAAGACGATGTTCTGTTCACTTCAAGCGCGTTTCATTTTTGCTTCTTTCCTTGCTGTTACCCCGAGGATAATTAAAATAGGTAACATATATGGAAAAAGAAGCGTTAGGCTTGTGATCCTGAATTAGTTTTTAAAAAGGAGACCGTGTGTTTCCACCAGTGACTGATGCGGGAGCGCCAGGGTCGCCTGCGTGTGCCTCCTCCCGACACCAGACCGCTCAGGAAACGCTGGGAAGCTCGGCTTGGGCGGAGGCCAACAAGACTCCCTAATTTCTAAGTTAAGGGCCAGAGTCGTCCACGGGAAACGCGCCGCGGGGTCCACTGGCCGGGAGGTCACCACCCGTGCGGGGCACCGGCCGTGGGAGGGGTGGACGAGGACGAGGAGGTGAGCAGAGCGTGCCGGGAAGGCGCTGGGCGCCGAGTCCTGGGAGGGACCTGGCTTTGACAAGAACAGCCCCGCCGCCAGAAGACACCTGCAGGGGACCCGAGCCCCCAGCCGCGGCCTGGCTGCCGGCCGACCCCGCCTCCGCGGACGCCCGCGTCCCCCAGGCACTGTTCCCGCAGGTAACGGGCAAGGAGGCGGGGCCGGTGCCCAGAGCGCGGGGCCCCGGGGCGTCGGGGACTCGTCGCCCTGCCTGGCCTTCCCTTCCGCAGGTGGCCGCCCCGGCCCCGCCCGCGCC